CTGGCCGCACGCTCCCGGCCGGTGCCGAGCTCCTCCGTCACTGAGTCGCAGCGTTGTTTTGGAAGCTCCTTCCTGTGCCTCATTCCTGAGCAGGACGAGCTCCGGAAGGGACAGACTGAAGGTTTTGCCCTGAAAATGATTTTTAAAAATTCAGCTTTTCCAGAAGGAAGCTTTTCGACAGTTTTGAAACCTTTCATTCCTCCTTTAAAAAAATTACTAGCCAGCTTCCCCCAAACTCTGCAGGTGGGTTCATCTTCCTCGGCAGAGGATCTCCCTGCATCCCACCAGAAGCACACTTCGCCCTGCACAGCTGCAGCACGGCTGTTCCCCTGCCAGCACGCCCTGGCGCGCCACAGCCCTTCGCGGGAGCACCCTAGTGCACCAGAGCCACACGGCCATGGCGTGGGGGGAACAGGGTTGGGAACGTGACAGGCTGGGGGCACTGGGAGCTGGGCAGGGCTCAGGGACAACTCCAGGGACCCAACCCTGCCCGTGCCCCCGGCACAAAGCTGGACGTCCCTGTGCCCCGGCCTGGAGCAGCAGCGGGCATCCCCCCACGGACAGCGCGGCTCCGCTGCAAGGGGGCTCCCAGCTGGAGGTGACCCTCCTGCGCCCAGCGCCAGCCTGGCCTCCCAGGAGGAGGGGGCTGCTAATGGACAGCCACTCAGCATCAATCAGTCCTCCCGGCGAGGCGGCACGCACGCACTCTCGCCTTTAAAAGTTAAGCAAAGGATCTTCCTCTTTTAATGTCAAGGCTTTTCAACGGAGTGCTTTATCAAGGACCTGATGCAAGCTGTCTTTAAGAGGTGATTTTTGTGTTTTCTTTTAAAGCAAGCATTTAACCCATTCATAAAATGCGGCGGCAAAACCCTCCCCATGCAGGGAGAGTGCTCCCCAGCCACCAAAAGCATCTTGCTGCTGAAGGCCTGCGATCCACAGAAACAAGCGTTTCCCTGCGGCAAACGGGCTGGGACCAGGGGCCGGGGGGGAGTCAGGTGAGCAGAGGCACAGACGGCGCTGCCCGGCTGCAGGGCTGCCAGACCCGCATGCGGATGCAGTTTCAAACCTACTGCAACCCTCCCTGTGGGTTCAGAGGCGTGAGAGGAGGAATATCCTGGGAGAGCTGGGGCTTCCCAAAATGTGCCCGGGCCACCCCACTGCCCCGGCATCCTGAAGCCAAACCCCTGCAGGGGATGGTGCAGCCCCGCTGTGCTCGCTGCTCCCTGCACGGCTGGTCCAGGGCATCCCCCACCTCAGGTACCCGCTGTCTGCCCTCGAACACCTCTGCAGCGTTGTGGAAGCAGAGTCACCCACCAGCAATCCCTTTGCTCAGCAGCCCTGAGCGGGTCCCAGGACATCAATCCCAGCCTCTCCCCACCCGGCTTCAGCACACCACGGGCACGAGGACCGCCCAGATGCCCCCGACCTGCCGTCACCCCAGGGGTGCTCGCCGGGCCACCCCCCAGATCACTGGTGCAGGCTTTGCCCCAGCAGCTCCCACGCAGGTGCAGGGCACACGCCAGCGCCCCGAGCCGCAGCCCGGGCAATTACTGGGTGCGAGCAGGACCTGTCACCTCGGCTACCAAGAGGTGCGAAAGTGGATTGCCATCCGCCAGCAACCCGCGATCGAAACCCCACACCAAGCCAAGGTGTTAATGGGCAATGCAGGTCCTCATCCCCCTGCCCAGATACCGCTGTGATGGGTGTCTTAAAGCAAAAAAACCCACCAAGACCGGTGGGGCAGGACCAGGATCTCATATCCCTGCTGGCAGAGCACTCTGCTGTGGCCCAGGCGACCGCTTTTTTGCTGCAGCTCGCAGGCACTCGGCTGCAAGGCTGCGTGGGCATCGCGGCTCTGTGTGCGCACCCCGGGAGCGAGGGCAGGGCTGTGCCCGCCGGGACGCCAGCAGGCAGGGAAAGCCATCACATTTCCCCCAGTGCATAGGATGCTAAACATTGCTGCAGCATCCACGACCAGAAGGAGATTTTAAATCTGCCAAAAACGCTCTGGCTGTTGGCCAGGAGATGGGGTCAAGATGACCCACGCATGCTAAAGGCAGCAAAGCAACTGACTACAAATAGGCTTCGTCGTGGCTCCGAGATCACTAACGAGAGTGAGGGAGAAGCCCAGCAGCCAGACCCGGCAACCCCAGGAACCCCTTGGTCCGTGGGAACGATGCTGCCCTCGGCGTGTCCCCCACCCCGCCGCTGGTGCTTGCCCATGGATGGGAGAGTGGTTTGCCCTGGCCCCACGGCAAGCAGGGGCCGAGGAGGGGGTCGGCATCAGCCCACCTCCCCATGGCCGCGCCATGCCCCTCCACCGGCGGCGGGGACCCACTGCACGCCCAGCCCAGCCTTCGGGCTGAAACCATGGCAATTTGTTTAACATCCCTGGCTGCTCATCCCAATCTAAAGGTCGCTGCACCCCTGCATGATATTTGTATGTATGTATGGCCGCTACGTCTGTATAAACCAGGCTGTGCAAGATACATGTATATAAACCAAACCGAAACCAGACACAATGTGAGCGTGCAAGTGTGTGTGCGTATGCACATCTCTCTGTCCCTCTCCATATATATATAAAAAAATTACATCTGAAAGGACAAAGTTGCCTGAGACTCACGACCCAACAAAATATATTTCACCCCCAGCCCATATTTTTCTTCCTGAAGAGATGCTGCAAATCTTCCCTCAGTCCTGACACATCTCATCTAGACTCAGTTAAAGTTCGTATTTATGGGCGTCAGCGCTGACCTCTTCCACCTCCGCCCGCGCGGCCTCGCGCCGCGGCTGCCTGGCCGGCCCTCGATAAACAAGCGGGCCCCCAAATCCCCCTCTGCCGCGCGGCATTATTAGTCTTGCCTCCGAAGGCCAGCGCAGTCCGTAATTCTCTGCCTGGTGACACGAGATGAACGCCGCGACATCAGTCTCCCCGGCGGATTGGCATGGGGACCCTCGTTTGTCAGTGGCAGACTGACAGAATTACTGGCCCTTAAATGAAACGATATATCTGGGAAGTTAAATCTGTTTTCAATCTGACTGCCCCGCGCCTGCGGGCGGACGTGGCGTGTGAGCCGATGTCAAGAGGCCATTAGCCCATCTCCCCCCCTCCTTCCCCGAGCGCAGCAGTGGAGCCGGGGGGGCTCTCCCCAACGCCCCCCGTCCTAACCACCCCG